CATGGCCGCGGGGGGCCCGGCGGGGCGAGCCGGCCAGCGCGGGGCGGGCTGCTGAGGGGGCAGGAGCGCAGGATTTGGGGGGCAGGAGGTGAGGGTTGGGGGGTAGGAGCTGCAGGCGCGCTGTGTTGGGGGCAGGAAGGCAGGATTAGGGGGGCAGGGTCTGGGCGCTCCGGGGTGGGGGCCGCCTGCCGGGCTGTCCCGGGCCCGGCGCGGCCGTGGGGAATGGCCGGCAGAAGCCGCCGGTCCTGGCTGAGCGTGTTGCTGGGGCTGGTGCTGGGCTTCGTCCTGGCCTCGCGGCTGATCCTGCCCCGCGCCTCGGAGCTGAAGAAAGCGGGGCACCGGCGCCAGGCCAGCCCCGAGGGCTGTGGGGGGCGGCTGCGCGGAGACCCCCGCGCTGCTCTGCTGTGGCGCCGCGACCCCAGCGGCCCCCGGGACGACGTCCCGCCTGCCGAGAGCTTCCTTTTCGTGGGGGTCATGACCGCCCAGAAATACCTGCAGAGCCGGGCCGTGGCTGCCCACAGGTGAGTGCCCATGTCCCCGTCCCCGTCCCCTGCTCGTTGGGCAGCCCGGGGCAGAGGGAGAGGGGTGCTGGGGGTTGCTTCGTGCCCCTTCCCTGCATGCCCAGCCACGTCTGTCTAGCACATGAAGAGCTGGTGGGTGGGTGTGTGCGCGCAGCTGTGCTTTCCGTCCCTGCTCTCATTGCATGTGCGGCTTCCCATCGGCTCGGTGGAGAAAGTCACAGTGGCTTTGTCGGGGAAGAGCTCGCTTTGTTCTTTTCCCCTGAACCCACCCGGGGGGCTTGCTTTGGACCCGCTGCCTAGGGAGCTGCTGACAGCTGGCCCCACGAGTGTTTCCAGGCTCCTCCGCCCATGTCTGAAGATGCTCTTGACAGTGCCATTACCTGCCTCTGCCCCTAAGATGCCAGTAAAAAGGGTTTACAAAAGGTGCCTCTGTATAGACCTTCCTGCGAGAGACACTGGAGTCTCGATAGGCCACACAAAGATCTGCTCTTCGCAGAGCTCACAGTCTGATTCAGAAACGGCTTGGTCGTAAAGGGACACCTGAAACCGCCTTGTTTTCAGACAGCCGGTTAGAAGCAGTTTCAGGTTCTTCTAATCACATTTTCCTATCCTTAAGATAGTTCCTCCCCCAGCTGCTGTCTGAGAGATGCACGCAAAGAGTGGGCAAGTCTGCCCGCGTGTGCTGTAGTTGGTCTCGCTGGCTCCCGAAGTAGAGTTAAACGGACAAAGGAAATTTGCAACTGGCTATAACGTGCTCCCGTGTTTAGAGCTGTCTGCATCAACGTTAGGTGAATATATTCAGGCTGAGCCCTCTGCCCCACTCCCAAGAGGATGGTGTAGGGGCTAGCAGAATAAACCCTCTTGCTTGAGAGAAGCCAGCAACAAAATTGAAGGCTGCTTTGCATGTCTGCAGATTTTTCCAATTTTCATTAGGGGGCTTTTACCTCTGCTTTTTCTTGGTTCTCATTTATTAACCTTCTTCACTGAGCAGAGTGTCTAAAATAAGGAACTGTTAGTTTCCAATGTAAACTGCCTGCATCTCTTGACCTGTGAAACTGTTACCAGTGAAGGCTGTTGACAGTGATTGGGTTGCCACAAATATACCCGTGCTCAAGCCTGTTTACTTGCACTTTCCTATGGACTGGGACATGGCGTTAAATGCCTTTCTGTGTGTTCAGCTAATACCGCCTTCTTTCTTCCACTGAACGATGCCTTTTGTCATGGCTTTTGGAAGAGACACATTTAGTGAAAACAAGCTGGTTTATTCTTTAGTTTGGGAACCTTGGCATATAGCTGATTTTGAAAGACTTGGCTTTAACGTGAGGTAGGAAGCGACTAGCCTGAAGAACAAGGCTGTGGGGCTCATTAGGTTTTGTCAGTGGCCTTAAATTCCCACCATCACCAAAACTACCAGGGCCCTGTTGTCACTATTATAATCTATTCATGTTTAAACAATGCATGTTTCCCATTGATAAGTCCTACACGCCTCGTTCAAGGGACATGAGGGCTAGGTTACGGCTTGAAGTGCAATCATTCCTAGCACTTGAAATATTTTCATGAAAACAGAAGCAAAGGCAGTTTTGTTGGGTTTTTTTATAAACGTTCCTGTTGGTGTTCTTACTCTGAATATTGCATCGTGTTGGGGCAGAGGATTTCGTGAGAGGACCTCAGGCCGCTGCGACCGTTGGGGCACTTTACATCCTGTAACAACCTTCCTTATGAGGTTAGTTGAGTTGATTTGCATCACTGATGACTCTTTGGGCAGAGTGACCTGGAGACGCCCCTCTCCTCTCCAGGTGCGGATGGCTGCTGGCTCACAGAGAGCTCATCTGCCCTTTGAGGGGTCTTTTTTAAGTCGTGCTGGGTGTCCGTGCACCCTCCTCAGCAAGGCTAGCCCGCTAAACTGGGGGCACCACTCTATAGTTTTTGACACCCTGCCTGCGGAACAGGCTGTATTAGTTTACATGGTACCAGGTAGCTGACCAAGAGAGGTCTGGCCTGACAGGCGAGGACCTCATAATCCAACAGAAAAAAAATGGTTTTGAGACCACCACTGCGTCCACTTAGCCAGGAAGAAAGGGGATGCCCATCTTGATTGTTAGTATCAGGAAGGAGATTTGATAAGAAGCAAGAAGTAAAATTAACCCCCCTCTCCATTGGACCTTTCAGTCAGCTGGGACAAAGCAGGTGAAAAGCACAACTGGTGAACACTAACCAAGATTAATCACCTTCACTCTTGATAAGTGTTGGTGAGATGAACAGGAGGAAGAAGACTGGGGCTGCTGTTGTTCTAGGTACTCGACAGACATGAAGTAGCTCCGCTCCATAACCAGAGCTACTATATGCTGTGCTAATGCAACCAATAACAGGATCATGGTAATGCAGCTTTCATCATCCACCCCTCTCCCTATCGGAGCAGTAATCCCTCTTGTAAGTGTAAAGCTTTTGGTTCTGGAGCAAGGTTTTCTGCTATAGATGTGTCCTATGCAAATAGCGTTGAGTATTTTAGCCTTAGCCTGGAGGTCTGGATTGGGAGTCATCCTCAAAGGCACACTCTTAGGAAATCTGGAGTTTCTGAAGTTAAGACCTAGCAATTTAGCTTGGATACTTTTTGTATAGATTCACATGGTGCTACACCCTATCAAACAAGCCATTAGGAATTCTCCTACAGAAGTTTCTTTAACAAAAAGTGGGTAACAACAATTTGGTTTAGTTCAGTGCTTTTCATCCTGTGGTCCATGGACCTTTGGGGGTCTGCAGGCTGTCTAAGGGGTCTGTGAAAGAAGACTATGATCCATTGTGACTGTGAGTATTCTCATACTTTTAATTCAAAGGGGTCCACACCTCCATTTGACATTTTCCAAGGGGGTACACACCTCCCTTTGGAATTTTTCAGGGGTCCACAAATGAAAAAAGGCTGAAAACCACTGGTCTACTTGAGCCTAAGGAACAGTGTAGCAAAACTAAGCAAATGGAAGTGTTTCACTGTTAACAGAAATGGAAGCATCTGATTATAATCGTATATAATGTCTTAAAATGGGAGGGGAGGTTTAAAAGAGAGAATCTAAAATAATCTTCCACGACATACAGCTTAATTATAAGTTTTAATCAATTTAAATAAGGGGCTAACAGTAGACTTGTAATTAAATTTAAACAGACTGTGGTTGAAGCCCTGGAAGAAAAAGAAGAGAATCTGTCTCATTAGGCTTCAACTGATACTTTCAGAAAAGAATGGGGAAAATATTTTGAAGTGCCATACTTGTGCAGTCTATGAAGCAAAGACTGGCATGGAGAAACCTCATCTGTGTTTTAATACTGCTGAGTGGCTTCCAATTCAAACACGTTTTGCAGCAAATCCCATTGGGATGAGTGGGGGGAGGTCATGAGATTTCCAGGGAAGGTGTTTGAGGACACGTGTTGCTGTAACCATCGCTTACTACTTTTCACTGATTGCTTTTGCCAGCTTCTGCATTCATTACACTTTGTACGATGCGTGTATTGTCTATTAACTTCTGTGGGGTTATATATTGGAGTTGCACTTATGGATCTAGGTCCATAGTGCAAACATAGGAGACAGAAAATATGGTAAAAAAAAACCAAAACTGATAAATGTATAGGGAAAGAAAATGTCTGGAAGGGAGAAATGGGTATTCTGGAACAGAGGATGAATAAATACAAAAAAAAGGACTAGAAAAATGACTAGAATAAAGCAAGCATACCAAAGGGACAAGATCTGAGAGCTCTTACCAGTTGTGGAAGGCCTACATACATTCTTCATTTTCTTGTTTCTTTTACAAACAAGATGTGTCAGTCGCAGGAATACATTTTCCTGGGAGAAAAAGAAATCTTAAATGGGGTATGATTGCCGCAGAGCATTCAACTACGTAATCGGGATGATTAAATTGACAAAAGCATCATGGTTAGATGGAGCAAGGAGAATGGGCAGCTTGTAAGAGAGATTCTGGAGATGGCAGGACTGGAGCTGTCAAGGTCTGTTAACATACTTGCTGCAGTTGAGAGAGGAGCCAAGGGCATAGAAATACAGGACCTTCCAAAACCTTCTAGCCTTATAGGTTCACTTGAGGAGAGGGGGGCCGTAAATCCTTAGCCAGAAGGGACCAGATGGAACAGAACAGATGTTTGCTGTACCTTGCTGCTGTTGCGCCATTTATGGTGTAGGAAAGGTGCAAACAGGAGGCACTTTTGAAAGTCTTTGTTAATCTTTCTGGTAAAATACATGCTGTGGTGAAATATGGGCTTGGTTCCCTTCAGGAAAGCACTGATGCTCTAAATAATTCTCTGGACTGTGTTTTCCAGCTAACAAACAGATTAGCTGAATTTGCCTTGACGAAGACTGCTGAAATGCACCCCTGGAAACCGTTTTGATCCCCCCTGGCATGTCTGTAAATTGAATTCAGAAAAAAGGGTGCAGGGAGCAATGAGCACAAGCACAAAGCCAAGAGAATGGTTATCCATAAGGACCTGTGAGCAGAAGGAAGCTATTGTGAAAGGACTGTAGAAGGAGAAAACTCAGCTGGTAGCCTCCCAGCGGACACCAGAGTCTCCTGTTAAGGGCAGAAAAACCTGGATGCCGTTGTCTTGTAAATGGAGCAGCAGCACCAGTGCATATGCTGTTTGCTAGACCGACTCCTTTACTTTGCCCATCAGTTATACAGCCAAGGAACTTGCAGAAGTCTAATGCAATGGATGGCAGAAGAAGCTGAACCTGCAGCCAAGTTGTTCAGATAATTCAGTAAATATATGCTAGAAACTCTTCTGCGAAAGATCATGAGAGGCCGTTTTGACCGTGGATCACGTTATATTGTATCTGTGTTTTAATGCTGAAGTGTGCATCTTTCTGCAGAAAGTCCCAGCGTAAGGTACTCTTTCCAAAGACTGCCGTCTGCACACTTTGTCATGCTGCTCACACTGTCATAGAGGAAGTAGATTGTCGAGCAATCTAAAAGCCTGAGCACTTACAGAAGGTTAAGCAAAAGTCG